ACTCGTTTCTTGACGGACTTTTTAGCCACAGGGGTCGTTTTCATCTTAGACACGCCCGACTTTTTTGTCATCGCCGAGGATGCCTTCGCGTTGATAGATTTGCCCATGGTGCGCCGGTGTTGAATGGCTGGCTTGGTGATAAATTCGAAAGTTTTCTACGTAAATTCAGTACTAGCGCTACGCAAGGCAGACTAGTTGGTTCTGCCGGAATGCGTGTTGTTTCGTTTCTGAAATAATTTTTTCTATGATCAGGTTGCAAAAGCGCTGATCAAACATAAGCCGCACAATCAAAAGAAAGGTCCAACGACACCGAGACCTACTCCAAGAACGGAAACTGCAAGAAGCACTGACCCTGACGGAGTGAGCAACGCGCAAGCGACTGCTCAAACAACATCTTCGCGACCAGCTTTTAGTTGCTGGACATGGCGTCACTCGTTGCCCCAAACGCTCCACGCGTCCACAAGCGGAATGGAGCGACCCAGGACGGTACAGTGACCCAACTACTACTACTACTACTACTACTACTACTACTACTACTACTACTACTACAACAACTACAACTACTACAACAACTACTACTACTACTACTACTACTACTACTACTACTACTACTACTACTACTACTACTACTACTACTACTACTACTACTACTACTACTACTACTACTACTACTACTTCAAGACGAGCGGGGAGAGCCAATCTCCAAGTCCCTGCAGCTGCATCTGCGGCGCAGTTGGATGCCGCGTCGAGCGTTACAGGTACGCAATCAACTGGTCAACAACATCGAAGTCATATGCAACAAGGTATTGTTGACAGGAGTGGTACGGGTGCTACTGATATACCCGGTTCATATGTGGTACGAGGCAGATCTGTTGCTAATGAACGATCTAACGGTAGAATCACAGGATGGAATCTTGCACAAGTGCGTGTGAGACCGATTCTGAAGAAGAAAGGGATCTCCACTGAAGACAGAGGAGAGATGCTAATGCAGAAATGGCAAGCTCAACTAGATGCTGCCAGTACTCTCAAGGACGATGACAGCATGGTCAGCGATGGAAGCGTGAACATGCAGATCTACAAGTCGACCTTGAAGATGGATTCATTGAAACACTGTTCTCAATGGACCAAAGATAACAAGAAACCTTTCAAGTCCAATGGAAGTAAACACTGGGATATCGATCTCGGTGTGCATCTTGATTCCGGATCTACGTTCAGCCTACCAATGAACGAAGATTACGCCAAACCAGGCACTGTGTCTGACCTGGATTACATGTTCAACTACGGTACGAACACTGGCCAACGTGATCTGCACCAACAGGTCGAATCAAGTATTATCGATGGCCACACTTGCTTGCTTGATACTGAAGCGCAATGTAACCTTGATAGTTTGTCCAATCTTGTGAAGCTCGAATTCCGTGTCGTATGGACACTAATATTGAAAACTCCTTCATCGTTACGAAGGGGGAACAGAGAATGCGATATGAGCATCAAAACGGATTGTATACTTTCGTACCCGACGGTAGGGCGGAAAGTGATGAGGAATCCAAATATTCCGAGTGTGAATACAGAGAATGTGGAAATGGTGATTGTGACGCGTTTGGTGTCGCGCACACCGAATGCCATAAATGTGGTGTTATTTTCTGTGGTAGAATTTTAAAAATTATCTATTCCGATTCCGATTATTGTGGCATACAGACGGTGCGGGAAAATATCGAAGGCTTTACTGATAAACAAGTTGAGCGGGCTATTCGCGCGAGAGCATTGTATCCTATGGCTGGTGCACCTGGCGTACAAGCGTTTCGTATTGCAGTAAGATCTGGTTTGTTCAAGAACTGCAATGTGAATGAGGAAGATGCAATCATTGCTGAAAAGATATATGGACCAGGTTCTTCGGTCCTAAAAGGGAAGACGAAGCGTCCCACGCCTGAGGGAGCGCGGGACGATTGGATTGAGATTCCAAAGGTGCTATTGATTCACAATCTGGATGTTGTGTTGCATATTGATCTTGTTAACATCTAAGACCGCGTTGTATGACGCAATTGATAAATGTTTTCGGTTATATAATGCACGTGACTTCACGGTGGAAAAGATTTATTGCAATGGGGAATTCCGTCCGATATTTGAGCCCATGAAAGATGAACTTGAAGTTCACATGAACTACGCCAGAAAAGGCGAACATGATCCGAAGGCGGAACAAAATAACCAACATTTCAAAGCGTTGCTTCAGGTTCACTTTCACCGGATGCCATTCAAGGCAATTCCAAAGAAGTTGACAAAAATATCCAACTACTACCCGGCAAAAGGGGGGCTGTCTGAATACTACAGCCCGCATATGATTATGCATCAGCGAATGGTTGATGCCTCTAAAGAATTTGTTGCCAAGATTGGTGCATATGTCCATGGCTATGGACATGATACCAAGAACAATATGGCTGCTCAAACGATCAAGGGTGTTTACATGGGACCCACTGACGACATTCAAGAAGGGCACCGTATTTATGATCTGAATACGAAGTGCAAGGCACGACGTGCAAAGATCAAAGTCCTTCCAATGACTGATCAAGTCATCAAAATCATTGAAGAACACGCAAGATTGGAAGGAGTGACGGAACTACGCACCTATTCCAAGCGCAATGGCGAGCTAATCCTCGATGGTGATTTGCTCGAAGGAGTGGACCCAGATGAACTGTGGGATGAAAACTACATGCCAGTAAACGAAATTGAAAGACTGAACAATGTAACCCTCCGAAATGAAAATATTCCAGATGACGAAGTTGATGAATTACTAATGGATGCTGAAGCAGACATAATAGAAGTGAGGTTCGACAAGGACAGGAACCCAAGATACGATAGCGAAGCAAATCAATATGAAGATGAGCTAGAGGATGAGATGTTCGATAGAATGTTCAAGAAGATCAAGGCTAGACAAGATGCTGAAGATATGATGGATGAAGACTATGAAGAGCACCAATGGATAAATAGCAATGAGGACATAGACTATGAAAACAACTACGAGTCCGAATTAGACGATGACGAAGCCAAACAGATGCTAGACGAACTGGCAGCTGAATTAGTGGAACTTGGGAAACCTGACAAAGAAGAAATTCTATTCGACTTGTTTGAAGAAGAAGAAGAAGATGATGATGACGATAATACACACGAAGATGTGGAAGTTGATTCGGGAGAGGAAGATAGGGTTGCTCGCGCAGGAGTGAGATTCGCGGACACAGATGATAATGAGTCCGACACTGAAGGAATTGTAAGAAGTTACAGTGACAACGGTGTAGAGATTGGAGCGAAAAGAGTACTTCGTCCAAGACACAATCGATCCTAAATCTCACAGGGAGTCAAGATGAGACCCACTGAGAGATACCGAAGAGAGAAATCAAGATTTGGGCAGGCATACCTACAAAGGAAGAATCGACCTGTGCCAAACGTTTTGAGAAACAGACGTGCGATGAGAAGAAAATCACGAATGAAAAGACTCCGAGTCTCACCGTACCAAGCAATCAAGAAAAGAATTGATATACAAAGAAAGGGAGCACAGTTGCAAGGAAACCATAAGTACAAGCGTTCCATCCGAGAAAGCATGCACAATTTGGCATTCCAGCAAGTCGGAAATACGAACAAAGGTGAATATGACGCGGAGGAAGCTGTTGGGATATGACGAAATACGAGTTTTTACGTTCCAAAAGAAACTATTCAAGTACAAGGTTTTCGACACGTGCGATCGGACTTTGATCCTGCGCGATGTCGGGATTTGACGCAAGTATGCCGGACGCAAGTCTGTCGGACATTCTGTATCCACACAAACAGGAAAAGATCCTGTACAAGTGGAATATTGATGTTGTGTACGATGCAGTAGGGAATAATGCAAGATATCCCAAAGTACTGCATTCAACACAGAATTGTCGTAGAAGTCAA